AGTAGATCAGAATATACAAGTTCTTAGCCAAAAATTACATGGATGGCCCCTATCTCCGATCTTGATAGTCTTCAGTTCCCTCTGAAACTTCTCAAGACAGGCCTTCACAGGCAGTGTATTTCTCAGCATTACTGTTTTCTAAGCTCCTCCCAGAACAGCCCCTTAAGTTCTGAGCATTCAACCACTTTTCTAACCCGAAGTTCCAAAATCTTCCACAGCCCTCCAACAAAATAGTCCAGAGATATAAAAAGCTATGACCAAGTCATCCCAGCAATAGTTACTCTCTCAGTTACAATTTCTGTTCTAGTTTCATTCTGTGGCTGGGACAAAACACTCTGACCAGAACCAGTTTAAGGGGGGAAAAGGGCTTATTTCTTATAGCAGATTCCAGTCTTTCTGTGGTGGTTTGAATGAGAGTGGTTCCCATAGGCTCAAATATTTGAATGCTTGGTCCCCAGTGTTGGAACTGTTTGGGAAGGATTTAGGAGGTGTGGCCTTGTTGGGGAAGGTTATGTCCCTGAGGGTGACTTTGAGGTTTCAAAAGCCTGTGTGATTCCCAGTTAGCTTTCTCCCTGCCTCATGTTTGTGGACAAAGGTATAAAGTCTCAGCCACTATTCCAACAACATACTACCTGCTGTCATGCACCCCACCATGATGGACATGTACTCTAACCCTCTGAGACTGCAAACCTTCTCTAAATGCTTCTATAACTTGCCTTGGTCATGGTGTCTTCTTATTGAAACAACAGAAAAGCAACTATGACACCATCACTGAGTGAAGTCATAGCAGTACCTCAAATAAGAACATGAACAAAAACCACAGAGGAATGCTGATTGCTACCTTGTTCATGACCTTATGTCTTTCTGTTGTTGTTGTTGTTTGTGGTGGTGGTGGTGGTGGTGGTGGTGGTGGTGGTGGTGTGTGTGTGTGTGTGTGTGTGTGTTTGAGACAGTGTCTTCCTATGTGGCCCTGGCTGTCCTGGGAACTCTATCTATATAGACTAGGCTGGCCTCAAACTCACACTTATCTGTCTGTCTTTGCTGGGATTAAGACATGCACTGCTATAACCAGCTACAGCCTCATGCTTAACTAGTTTTATTTTTAAGCATGTAAAAAATAATTTTATATGTATGGGTGTTTTGCCTACATGTATATCTGTGTACCACATGCATGTCTGGTGCCTGCAAAGACCAGAAGAGAATATTGGATTCCTTGAGTGTAGAGTTCTAGACAGTTTTAAATTGCCATGTGATTGCTGGTAATCAAACCCAGCTCCTCTGGAAGAGCAGCCAGTGTTCTTAACCGTCTCTTGGGGCCCTTGATTAGCTTTCTTTATATAGCCCAGGAACACCAGCCCAGTGATGGTGCTGTAGTGAGGATCCCCCAAAGAACACTGCTCTGACCTGGGTGTAAGCAAACTGAAAGTCTTTAGCAGCTGGCTGGCAACTACAGTAGGTATTGGAATCGCGGTGTAACACTGAGCCTGTCGCGGGGTGAGCTTTAAGCACAAAACCCGTGCTCTGTGTTCTCATACTTCAGTTAACAAGGACAGTTAGCCAGAGCAGAACTCCAGAAACTAAACCTCAAGGTTAGTACATTTAGAGAGTTTCCCAAAACTATGGACTTTGATGGATTAGGTCATTGTTTTCATTTTGGCAGGTGGTGCTGTCTACTACAGAGTTTACAACTGAATGATACTTCCATCATGGAAACAGTTGTGCTAAATTCTGGGAGCCTGTTACAGTGCCACCTAAGTGAGCTGAACCCTCCCCCATTAAATAATAATCAGTATAATCCCCCAAAACATGCCCAAAGGCCAATCTAATCTAGGCAGTTCTCTCAGGTGATTCTAGGTTTTGTTTACAATTAAATCTAAATAGGGTAAGTTAATAAAATCAAAGTTCAGGAAAGATGAGATTCTTTAACTGCAAAGTTATAAAGCGCTTGCATCCAGCTTCCTCACAAAACAAAGACTGCTGAAGTGTTTCTGCCAATAGGAAGAGTCACAGTACAACCAACAGGAACCTTTATCCTCTCTGCTGCCTCTCCTCTGCTCTTCATCAGCGAGTGAATCTCGGCCAGTGTAGCTCTTTAGAAATGAGGAAGGACAGAATTCTCCTGTTCTTGAACACAGTGATATAAAAGACACACTGACTTTAAAGAAGTGCCTGGAGAGATACTAAACTATGATTGCTATCATTTTTTTCTTTGAGGATATTTGCCTCATACCAAGAAAATTTGGTATAAATTTTTTGCTTCTCAACCTGTCAGTAAGTTGGCACTGGTGCTGTGAGTTGGGTCAAAGGCACATGAGTTTTAATCCCAGAATCCACATAAAAGGAGAGGGAGCAAAGCAGTTTTGCAAAGTATCCAGGAAATGAAGCAGTTGTTCAAGAAGCCTAATTGAACAAAATGGTAACAGGAACAAAGCAAAAGAAACTAAATGTTATTCAACTGGCTTGTGTGTTGCCAAGGAACAGTACACTAACCAAGGGTGTGATGTAGCAGGGCAGGAAGACATGGTTAAACTTGGGCTGGTAAAATGGGTGCATGGGTAAGTGGGTGGCTGGTGAGAAGGCTACACCAACTCTGTGGAAGGCTATGGTACTGGAGCTGCTTATTCTTTACAAGCTTTCCAGTCTCTGGATGAAAGAGAGGGATCAGCTCTAAAGCAGGCCACTTCATCTAACCTACCCTAGCAGGGTTAAGACACAAATGGAGAAAGGAACATGTGACATCTCAGTGAGGGGAGGAGGGTGAGGTGTGCTCTTCTGAGAAAGGAGGAGACTTCAGGCTGTTCAGGAGCAAAACAGGCCACCTAATGGGGATGAGGATGGCTCAGTGATTTAGAGCGTTGCTTTCTCTTGCAAAGGACTAGCTTTAGTTCCCAACACAGATGTGGTAGCTCACAGGCATTTGTAACTCCAGTCCCAGGGCATGTGACCCTGGCTTCAGGTCTTCATGGGCACTGCACACACACATGAGGCACTTACCTGCATGTAGTCCAAACATTCACACACACAAAAATAAATCTTAAAATAAAAAGAGGCCACCTTACGGAACTTAGGGGCTTTCTGTTTTTAAAGAATATAGCCAGTTGTGCATATCTGTAATTCAAACAATCCAAAGGGTGGTGCAGGAGAACAGCTATGAGTTCCAGGACAGCCTGGAGTACATAGTGAGACCCTGAATCTAAAAGAAAAACAAATCAAAAAGATACAAAGATTGAGGAGATGGTTCAGTCAGTAAGGAGCCTGTTGTGTGAACAGAAAGAATGAGTTCCCATCCCACATCCTGTAAATAGTCAAGGTTGGTGGTGCATCCCTGTAACCCCAGTGCTGGGGGGAGTGGGGAGGGACAGGCAGGTGGACCCTGGAATTCATTGACTAACCCAAATAGCTAATCTGTGAGTTGTTTTGTTTTTGTTGTTTCTAAAAGAAAACAAGGCCAGGTGGTGGTGGTCGTTGTAGTGGTGCACGCCTTTAATCCCAGCACTTGGGAGGCAGAGGCAGGCATATCTCTGTGAGTTCAAGGCCAGCCTGGTTTACAAGAGCTAGTTCCAGGACAGGCTCCAAAGCTAAAGAGAAACCCTTGTTCATAAAAAACCAAAAAATAAATAAATTAAAAATAACATCTATTTTCATGATACATATCAATCCAAGTTCCCACTCCCTCCCCTTCTCCCATTTCCTCCATTTACTCCCCAACTATACCCCCATCCACTCCCCATAGAGGGTAAGGTGCATTGCTTTGGGGAAGGTCCAAGGCCCTCCCTACTATATCTAGGTATCTATCCAAAGAAAATAGGTTCCCCAAAAGCCAGTGCAAGCAGTAGGGATAAATCCTGGTGCCACTGCCAGTGGCCCCACAGTCTGCTCCAGCCATGCAACTCTCAACCACTTTCAGAGGGACTAGTTTGGTCCTATGCTTGTTCCTTCCCAGTCCAGCTGGAGTTGGTAAGCCCTCCTATATACAAATGATAAAGAAGCTGAGAAAGAAGTCAAAGAAACATCACCTTTCACAATAGCCACAAATGATATAAAATATATTGGGGTAACACTAACCAAGGAAGTGAAAGACCTGTTTGACAAGAACCTTCATTCTGAAGAAAGAAATTGAAGAAGATACCAGAAAATGGAAAGATCTCCCATGTTCTTGAATAAGTGGGATCAACATAACAAAGATGGCAATCTTACCAAAAGCAATCTATAGACTCATTGCAATCCCCATAAAAATCCCAACACAATTCCTCAAAGATCTTGAAAGAACAATAATCAACTTCATATGAGAAAAAAAACCAGAATAGCCAAAAACCATTCTGTACAATAGAGGAACTTCCGGAGGCACTGCCATCCCTGATATCAAGCTCTATTACAGAGCTACAGTAATGAAAACAACTTGGCATTGGAATAAAAACAGAGACGTTGAGCAATGGAATTGAATTGGAGAGCCGGATATTAATCCACACACCTATGAACACTTGATTTTATACCAAGAAGCTAAAAATATATAATGAAAAAAAGAAAGCATATTCAACAAGTAGTGCTGGCATAACTGGATGTCAACATGTAGAAGAATGTAAATACCAGATTCTTATCTATCGCCATGCACAAGATTCAAATCCAAAAGGATTATGGACTTCAGTATAAATCTGACCACACTGAACCTGATAGAAGAGAAAGAGGGAAGTAGCCATCAATGCATGGGCACAGGAGACCACTTCCTAAATATAACCCCAAGTAACTAAGACACTGAGAGCAACAATAAATAAATGGGACTTTCTGAAACTGAGAAGCTTCTGTAAAGCAAAGGACACAGTCAATAAGATAAAAAGGCAGTCTACTAAATGAGACAAGATCTTCACCAACCCCACATCAGGCAGAGAGACGACTGATCTCCAAAATACATGAAGAACTCAAGAAACTAGGCATCAGAATTCCAAATAATCTAGTAAAAAAAATGGGGGTACAGAAATAAACAGAGAACTCTCAACAGAAGAATCTCAAATGGCCGAAAGACATTTGAAGAAAGCGTCAACATCCTTAGCCATCAAGGAAATGCAAATAAAAATAACCTGTAGTATACCATCTTGCACATGTAAGAATGGCTAAGATCAAAATACCAGTGATAGCTTCTGCTGGAGAGGATGTGGAAAAAGGGGAACACTCACCCATTGCTGGTGATGGGAATGCAAACTTGTATAACCACTTTGGAAATCAGTATGGTGGTTTCTCAGAAATTGGGAATCAACCTACCTCAGGACTCAACAACACCACTCTTAGGCATATACCCAAAGGAGGCTCAATCATACTACAAAGACATTTTTTCAACTATATTCATAGCAGCATTATTTATATAGCCAGACCGAAACACCCTAGATGCCCCTTGACCAAAGAATGGATCAAGAAAGCATGACACATTTAGACATTAGAGTACTACTTTGCAGGAAAAAAATGGCATCTTGAAATTTACATGAAAAGGTATGGAACCAGAAAACATCATCCTGAGTGAGGTAACCCAGATCCAAAAAGATGAATATGGTATGTACTTACTCATACGTGGTTATAAGCCATAAACAAAGGATATTGAATTCATGATCCTGGAGAAACTAAGTAACAAGGTGCAACCTAAGAAAAACATATATAGATCCACCTGAGAAGTCAAAATAGACAAATCACCTGACAAAATTGGGAACATAGAGGTGGGGGGAGAAGGGAGAGTGGAATTTGTGAGTATCTAATCAGTAGACACCATGTCTCAAAAATAAGGTATAGGGAAATAAAGGAGGAAACCTATAGTAGACCTCTGACTTCCATGTATAGGCACAGATATGAGCATGGACACACACATGCACACATTAACAAATGCAAACTGAGAAGGATGGACTAATGAGAAAACTTGTCCTTGCTTACCATTCGATGCCACAACAATAAAAGTGCCTTCTTTTCAGAAATTATGTACTAAATTAGTTACAGACCCTCTGCTCATAGACATCCTGCCTCCATCTCCAGACTTTTGAAATCACAGGCATGCCATAGCAGACCTGGATTAGTCTGCATCTTTGGAATAAATATATTTTGAATGTGAAATACCCCCTTACAGGTTCATATATGGAATGCTTGATCCCTAGCTGGTGGCACTGTTTGGGGAAGTGGTGGGAGCTTTAGGTGATGCCTAGCTGGAGGAAGTATGTCACTAGTGTGGGAGTAGCTGTGAAGGCTATACCTAGTGCACTCCTTCTGTTCCCTGGCAATCATGAGGTGAGTTATCTTCTGATAACCATGGACTGATAGCTACAGATGGGATGCCCATAAGAAAGTGTCCATCAGTCCCATGGCAAAGAAAAAGAGGTGGGGGCTAGGAACATCCCTCAGTTGGTAGAATACTTGGGTGACATGCTTGAAACCCATAAACTGGCTGTTGTGGCTTGAATGAGAATGTGCCCTCCTAACTCATATATTTGAATGTTTGCCCCCCACTACAGTTGGTGGAACAGTTTGGGAAGAATAGGGAAAATTGCTACTGAATGTGAGCTTTGAGATTTAAAAAGGCCACGTGATTTCCACTTATATCTCAAGACCTGAGCTCTCAGCTACTTCTCCAGTGCCATTCTTGACTGCTTACTGCCATACTCCCTTCTGTGATAGTCAAGGAACTCACCATCTGAAACTTTAAGGCCCAAATTAAACATTTTTCTTCTATAAATTGCACTGTCCACAATGCATTCTCACAGCAATAGAAATGTAAGTAAAATATTGGGTGTGGTGGTATCCACCTATAATCTCAGCACTGGGCATGAATTCAGTGATATGCTGGTTTACATGGTGAATTTGAAGCCAACCTGGAATAAATGAGACAAAGGTGGGAATTGGAGAAAATGGGGTGATTCAATCAAATAAGAGGAAAAAAAGAGGAAGAGTCAGGGGACTTCAATTCTATGGGAGAGTCTCAGAGAATTAAGAAGACATCCAATAAACAATAAAGTTTAGCAGCCAAACCCATCTGTAGTCCAAACTTGGGAAGCCCAGGATATCTCGAGCTTAAATTCTAGAGAATGTTATTCTGGAGAATAGTAAGAGCAACCCAGTAATACTTCATTTAGCTGTCCTGGAACTCACTCTAGACCTTGATGGTCTTTGCCTTACTGAGTGCTGG